TACTGCAGTAGCTGAGATATGCACCCTTTAATCATGAAATATAGTACTTTTTAACTACAGCTACCATCAGGATCTTCAGGAAGAACCGGCCTAACCACGCTCCACTGCTCATCAACAGCTCAGCTTTAGAGGTGGTCAACAGCACCAACTTCCTGGGTGTGCACATCATAGAAACCCTCACCTGGACTGTAAACATCTCCTCATTGGTGAAAAGGGATCAGAAGCGCATGAACTTCCTGCAGAGGATGAGGAGAGCCCACCCGCCCTCACCCATTCTCACCACCTTCTCCAGAAGCACCATAGAGAGCGTTCTGACCAGCTGTCTCACTGTGTGATGTGGAGGCTGCAGCGCCTCAGACTGGAAGAAGGTGAGAACAGCAGAGAGGATCATGGGGGCTCCTCTTCCCTCCTTAAAAGACATTTCATCGCAGCGCTGCATGTCCTGAGCCCCTATTAGGGGTGGGTATTGCCAAAGAAGTCCCGATTCGATTCCAATTAAGGTTCACATGCCACAATACGATTCTATCACGATGCATCATGATACTTAAAATATGCATCGCAATATTTTCACTGAACACTGTTAGAATAAAATACAGCCATTACCAGTGGCTGACTGGCTGGGTATGATCTGGATAGTGTCTTCAATTGATACATGACAAAGCAACTGAATTCATACATAGCTGTATTTATTGAAACAACTTTTGGAGGTGTTGCCATGGAAACAAATACTGGACACAACTATTACTATTACTGGAGTGGACACACTGACAAAAAGTGCTTAGGATTTATAAAACTTGAAATACAAAATAAGGATAATCAGTGCTGTTTACATGGCCTCAGTGGTCCTTTAAACCACTTAAATGAAAAAATTTAAATGTATGACATTTCCCCCTTTTTAAATTCAAATTACGTGCATCATATCAAATCCGTTTTTACCTTCTTTGTTTTTAAAGCCAAAATACACCCAAACATCTGACTTGAAATGTGATGGAGCCGGGCCAATTTTCTCAGTCTCCTCCATGTTTTGTTTATGAATGACTCATCGAAGTATCCCTCTGACTGAAATGCTTGTGACACAAAGCAGCGGGCATCAACACATCCGCAGCGACATCTGCTGACTGGAAGCTGTATTCCACTTGTTGGCGGATGTGCACCAACCGTTCATGTATTATATTTATTCTTTTTTTTTAATTAAGTATTGATACTTCGCGTCAAGAATCGATGCAGTAGATCACAACAATTAGAATCGCGATGCATCGTCATGACTAGGGATGCACGATATTGGGATTTTGTCCGATATCCGATATGCCGATATTTTGAAACTCATGTAGCCGATAACCGATATTGATACCGATGTTAAAGCTGGACAAAAATAAGTAGTCATTGAAAATAGCAGTTTTGTTATCCATTTCTGATACTTTGAAAAATAATATA